GAAGAAGTATACATGGTACACCCCCCAGGTTTTCAATCTTCTGACAAATCTTTGGTCTGCAAGCTTAATAAAGCTATCTATGGTTTGAAACAAGCCCCCAGAGCTTGGTTTCTTAAACTTACCTCAGCCTTATACTCCTTTGGCTTCAAATAGTCTAAATGTGATGTCTCATTACTATTCTATCTTTCTAATACTATTCAAATTTATGTGTTGATCTATGTTGATCACATTCTTGTTATTGGAAATAACACTCCTGCTATTCAGCATCTTATTCAAAAATTAGACTCCAACTTCTCACTAAAGCATTTGGGGGAGCTTGACTATTTTCTGGGTATTGAAACTCAAAAACTTTCTGATGGAAGCCTCCATCTCTCACAAACAAAATATATCAAGGATCTTTTGGAAAAAGCTGGCGTGAAAGATTCTAAAGGCATTACAACACCCATGCTTAGTAGTTGTAAACTTTTAAAAGAAAGATGCAACTATGTCACTAATGCTACACACTACAGATCTATTGTAGGTGCTCTACAGTATGTCACTCTAACCAGGCCAGAAATTAACTATGCTGTTAACAAAGTGTGTCAGTTTATGGCATCTCCTTTAGAAGATCACTGGAAGGCAGTGAAAAGAATATTAAGATACCTCTCTGGTACACTTAAACATGGTCTTCTTCTACAACCAATTCTTTCCAGGACTCCTATCCAACTAAGTGCATTTTGTGATGCTGATTGGGCCTCAGATCCCAATGGCAGAAGGTCAACATCTGGTTCTTGTGTTTTCTTAGGACCTAACCTTATTTCCTGGTGGTCAAGAAAACAACTATGTGTAGCCAGGTCTTCAGCTGAAGTTGAATACAGAAGTCTAGCTGACACTGCAGCAGAACTTTTGTGGATTCAGTATCTACTTCAGGAGATTAAAGTTCCATACTCTATTCCTCAAATCTACTCTAATAACCTAAGTGCTGTTCATCTTGCTCATAATCCTGTTTTTCATTCAAGAATAAAACATATGGAACTTGATCTCTACTTTGTCAGAGAAAAGATTCTGCATAAAACACTTCAAGTACAACACATACCTGGTCCTTATCAAGTTGCAGATGTGCTGACTAAACCACTCTCAGCATCCAGATTTACAGAGTTGAAGAACAAACTCAATGTGATTGAGTTTTCACACAAATCACACAGAATTTGAGGGGGGAATATTAGGAATGTATTCTGTTCAGTATATTGTACCTAACTAACTAACTACTATTAGTACTATCTCGTGTGTTAGTTAGCTGTTAGCAATATATTTCCTTGTCTATAAATACTCTGTAAATCTGAACAATCATAATCAATAATATTACAATCTTTGTTCTATCTTTCTGTTGCTCTCTGGTTATCAATATATTGGGTATTGTTTTTATTCTATGGAGTATCATATACGGTAATACAGAGTAACAATAATTGACATTTTTTAGAATGTTTTTTAATTTGACTGTATACAATCCGAGACCAGACCAGATTACATGTAAATAGACTACATCAGACCAGCTTTTGATAGTTGTATAACACACATAGAACATACACCTAACATATCATATCAGTTCAGACTAGATTAGACCAAACTTAAACAGATCAAATCAGATGATCGAGAAGTGTCGGTTTTGACTTGACCAATTTTTTTTAATCCAATTACAAACATTCTTAATGGTAGTATAATTATAAATTAATGTGTCATAATAAATAAATTCCTCTATATATTCTATATTTTAGAATGTTAGTTTAATATATCTTTATTTGTAAAGTTTTTAATATTAAATATAAATAAAATAATTTTTTTAATCATGTTTAAATTTGTAGAGTACTGAATATTTTCACTTCAATCCGTTTTAGTCTCATATCATATTATATTTATATATTGTATCCGACTCAAATATTAGTAATAGTAACAACGTACTAGATTAGATCGAATAAGACTAGAATTATATGGATCTAAATACTTTGACTTTTTAGAAAAGATTTTATGTTCTTGAAAGTAGACAAATTATATTTTGCCTATTATTTTTTAGAGGTTTTTCCTAAACGATTACCGTTAAAAATTGGGAAAAGTACATGAAAAGTACTTGTGGTTAGGCCCATTTTCAGATAGGGGTATGTGTTTCATTTTTTATCAAAGTGGTTCACATGTTTGAATTCCTTATCACAAGAGGGTCACGTCGTTAAAAATGTCTGAGGAAAACGGTTAATAATAACTCTGATTTTCAAAAATGCCCGGAAAATTAACAGAAAAATACCAGAAGGTGCGATTCTTCAAGATGACTTCCAAACCACCTATGCCTTTGGATTTTTCGGACCTGTTTGGATTTTTTTTAAATAAATTCGCTAATATCACTTTTTCGATGGACTTTCCGGTGACAAGGGTGGCTGGAAACAAAAAAGGAAGATGGTCTTGCGATCGTCTTTTTGAGGCAAACCTTCCTGTATTTTTCTTTTAATTTTCCAAGCACTTTTGGAAATCGGAGTTACTATTAAACTTCTTCCTTAAGCGTTTTAACGGCGTGACCCTTTTGTGATAACGCAATTCAAACACGTGAACCACTTTGATAAAAAATGAAACACATGTACCTATTTGAAAATGGGTCCAACCACAAGTACTCTTCCTGTACTTTTTCCTAAAATATTTATGGACAAAAATGTGATTATAGGTTACTATGTGTAAGTTTTATAGTTGCTATGTTGTAACATTTGAATAAAATGATAGTCACTAAAGCTACCATATATAATCACATTTTTGTCCACTACTTTTATTTTGTTTTTTACCACAGGGGTCAGGGGAGGGGGCTAGTGTTACAGGATGGGATACACCACTTCTTCATCGAATTGAACAATTTACAGAACGTCATAATGCTATAAGAGAACCCGTTAGAATTGTATTGGATGATTGATACACACACACACACACCTTATGCGTAGTATGTAATTATAAAAACATAAATGTTTTGTTTTTAACTTTGCACAACTCTATATTAGATTATATATCAGTACACAATGGATCAGATACAAGATCATCATGTCTTGTAATAGCGTCGTTAGTAGCATAGGGACAAGGGACGCTTGTTTGATGAACGACGCATGCGGTTACCACCTTGTTACAGATAGCCACCGGGGGTTCATCAAACACAAATGTATCAGAAGGGCCTTCTGCATCAGCACCAGGGGTAACCAGTAAGACAGCCTGGCCAACCTTGGCTTCGGGTGTAACATCACAAGCATCAAATCGAGGGATAACTAGTAAGTCAACCGGGCCAACCTTATCTACAGATGTAGCTTCATCTGTAGATAAATTGAACATAAATTTTTGAAACTTGAACATAAATTGCAAAGTATATTTTAATCACTACATTAAACTTTTTAGTATGATAAAAAACCGGACAAAGGGTAATTTGAACATAAAAATTTGAAATTTGAACATAAATTGCAAAATTTTATATAGTGTTTATTGTCTTATAGCTTTCTGGTGTGAGACAAATACTTTTAACACGTCCCCTCAATCCGAGTTGGTTGAATTGTATATCTTCCTTGGAGTCTTGGACTAGACTGATATAATATTACTTCTATAAGTTCTATTTGTTTAGGCTTTTAAACAATTGGGCCAGTGGCGGGCGGCAAGCATCTGAGCCTCTAACATGGGCGAAGGGCGGAGTTTTGGACGGGCCAAGACCGTTCTAGCTCTCTATGTCATGTGCGACCTTGCATTTCGGACTTGCAGACTTGCTTGCGATGGCCGTGCTAAATAGGCGGGCAACATGATTTTTTTCCCACATAGGAAAGCTATAAGATGATAAAACATTATACTACCTATATCCCTTTTTATTTAGCTATCTTTCACTTTTCTAGTCAAAGATGATAAACTTTGATCCATTATTTTAACTAATATATTTATGTGAAACTTAATAAATCTATACTTTTATGATAGTATTTTTAACAAAGAGCATTTTCATATCATTTTCATATCATTTTCATATTATCCATATTACCATGTATAAATATGTAATCGGTCAAAGTTGAACATCATCGACTTGGAAAATAGTGTTTGGCTACATAAGAAGGGACAAAGAGAGTATAAGACTTTGGGTCACTCCTCTCATCAGGTTGACCTTTTATAGTGGAACGTTGGATCTTAATATGGTATCAGAGCCAATTCTGGTTGTCGTTGGACTACTTGTTTAACACTCATGATTAAAGGGTAGCTTGTTAAAAGTCTGTTTGGCTCATTTATACACCCTGATATTGTCCAACTCGATTCAACTGAGGGAGCGTGCTAAAAGTATTTGTCCCACACCGAAAGGCTAAAAGACAATAAAACAATATATAAGACTTTGGATTACTCCTTCTATCAGGCCTTTTAGCATGAAATCATGTGTCTTAACATTTAGATTTTAGAGTTCACATTTAAAATCTAAATGCACTATTTACCATTTAAGATTTAGCGGTGGTAATTGGAGGCTGGTGCGGATGTCGATCTGGCAATGGTAGTGGGAGCATCCGTGGTGATGAAATAATTAAAAATATATAATAAAGAGCATTTTAATCTATCCAAATGTCCAATATTCAAAACATACATTTTATGTTTTTCTCCTCTTGAAGATCAATTCTCTATGTTAATCAACTAAATTGTGGTTGCAATGTGTCATTATAGAATAAGTGTCAACATGATACCATATCATTCAACTTTATTAAATTATTTCTTACCTGTTTGATAAGTTGCTAATGTGAACTCCTTGATATATACTTCCTCATTTCTTTTTTATTTGCAACGGTAAACATTTCACATTTACCAACGCGTGTCTTTGACTGTAATTATATATTAATTCTATTAGTAAAAAAAATATTAAAAATCAGATTTTGAAAATTTGTAATGAGATGAATTAAACAATATTTAAAAAAAATCATAAAATAATAGCGTAAAATAATAGCGTAAAATAATAGCGTAAATGTAGTCAAAGTAGAGCATGTGAATAGTGTAAAAATCAACATGTTGCGATTAAAACGGAATGGAGGATAGTATGTATCAATATCCACGTTCCCTGAGGGAGAGAACAACAGAGAAAATATCCTTCCCTAGCTAGTTGGTATAATGCTAACTCAGGATTCATAAATCCTTTGACATAACAATAGATAACAGAAAATAATTTACAAAACAAAATTAAGAGAAGAAAAATGCATGAAAGGACATTGCATTGATGCTTGTTCTATCTCTTGAAGATGAAGCTTTTTTAGGTATGTTTGGACTCCCTCCAAAACTTAGCTGGTAGCCCATTTATAGGGATTGGGAATGGATGATGTTGAATTCTATTTTCTCCCCCTGCAACTTCCCACCTGCATCCACAACCAACTAAGTGTGTGTATATGATAAGCATTGTTGAACTGCAAAAAACCATTTGTGTTACCTGAATTTGGTAACAAGATGGTGTGTCATTATTAACATTTCAAGCTTGGCAAGCTCATTTCCCGGGCAAGCATGTACCCCGCTTCCAAACGGCATGAATGTGTTCGGTTTTGGAGCTTTCTAAAATGAAAAGATATCAAGTTAGTTTTTTTTTTGCCTTAGTAACTTCCTTAAGCAGTGCACAATGTGCTAGTATTGAAAATTCTTAGAGCATGCACCTGAAATCTATTTGGATCAAACTTCTGCGAATCTTGAAAGAAATCCGGATTGTGATGACAATTCCTGAATGTTGGCATAACCTTCCATCCCTTTGGAATTATGTACCCTACATTATGTGTGTCAATAAAGAAATGAAATGAAAATTGTCTCTTATACTTCATTTTCTACTTGAAAATTGTAGTGGTATTGGTCCACCTCACTACTGGGCCATCCCTGAGCTGCCTTTTGGTCCACCTCATTTAAGGAGTTGGTCTCCTAATTAATGCCCTGGCCCAATTGGGCTGTCTACCCGACCAAGCCCATTCCCACCCCGCTTGTCCTATACCCAGCCCATCCCGTGTGGCCCTCCCTTATATTTGGCTGGTTCTTCTGGAACCCTCCTATTTCTGCCTCTCCGCCTTCTCTCTAAACGATGACTCCTCAGTTCAGTTACCCTAGACCTAGAGTGAGAGAGTGCCGGTTTCCTCTGAGCTTTAGCTCCGGCTTTGCTCCGGTGAGACCTTGGGGTTCCTATTGGGGTCTTCACTCTAGTCTGGTAGTGTGGTGGGTTATCCGTTGCTCCGGTGGGTTCTCTGGGCTGGGGTTTGGGTTCTATGTGTGAGGGCTAGTTGGCTGTCGCCCTTCCGTCTTCCCTGGTTGTATCCCTGGTGGTGAGTGTGAGCAAGCCTTTGGGCTTGGTGGTGATTGAGGTCTAAGTCGTTCCGGTTTTCTAACAGTGGTATTAGAGCCTGGACGTTGTTGCCTCTCTCGGACACCGGAAGCTCACCGGAGAACTCCCACACCGGTAACGTCTGAAGACGCCATCGGAGAAGGTAAGTCGGGTTGTCTCTCCGTGATACCCGCTCAAGTATAAACTCAAACCCTAACCCTTGGGCTGCCGGAGTGCCACCGGCTTCTGTGATGCATGGGTATTCCGAAACCCTAGGTTGAGGAACTACCGGTTAGAAACCCTAGTTTCTGAACCATTGCATGTGTAGATCTTATTTAGACAAGACCTGCAGAAACCCTAGGTTGGTGATACAGTGCATGAGTGGTCCAATCTGTGTCGAACTTGGCCACTGATATATGTGAACTTGCCTGTGTTGAATTTATCCTCTGTGTGATAACCTCTGTACCTGCCTCTGTATTGCTGTATCGTGCCCTACTTATTTTCTGCTGTATTATTTTCTTTGTATTATTTCTCTGCTCTGTCAGTCTATTCAACTTTTCTTCCGATTCTTTGTGTTGAGTTCTGGTAATTTTGTGTGGCCTCTAACCCCTGGTTGGCTAAGGCACCTGAGGTTAGGGCTAAGTGATTCCCTACCAGCCACTTCAGTGGCCCCGGAACTGCGTGGTCACTTAGTCCGCAGCCCAAACCATCAGGGTTAAGCTTCTTTATTACCTGTATCTCTGCTGTTGTGTTGTGACTGTTATCATGGCTTCAAATCAGTATGGTATGATGCCTTTTAATGGTAAGACTGACTTTGACATTTGGAAACAGAAGATAAAATGTGTGTTAATACAACAGAAAGTTCATAGAGCTATTACTGGGCAATACTTAGAAACTGAGGAAAAACCCAAACAAGTTGAAATGAATGAAATAGCTTGCTCAACCATATATTTAAACTTGTCTGACTCTGTCCTTAGAAAGGTTGGAGTCATTGAGTCTGCTAAAGACCTCTGGGATAAACTTGAGTCTCTATATACTGATACTTCCCTTCCTGGCAAACTGTTTTTGTTGGAAAAGTTTTTTAGGTTTAGGCTTGACCTATCAAAAGATATTGATGAAAACCTAGATGTTTTTAACAAACTAATCCAAAACATTAAGCAGGCTGGGGATAAACATATAGATGACTACACTGCCATAGTCTTATTGAATGCTATACCTGATACTTATAATGATGTTAAGTCTGCCATTAAATATGGGAGGGATGACATAACCCTTGATATTGTTATTAATGGCTTGAGAAGTAAAGAACTTGACTTAAAACATTCTAGGAACCATCATAAGGAATCTGGGGAAGCTTTGTTTGTTAGGGGAAGGTCTAAAAGCAGGTCTAAAAACCCTAAAAAGGACAATCATGATAAGAATGGTAGACAACCTAGCAAGAAAAGGCATAAGTCTAGGAAAAGGGTGTGCTATAACTGTGGGAACCCAGATCATTTCATAAAGGACTGTACCCAACCCAAAAGAAATGAACAGGCCAACTTTGTGACTGATAAGGAAATTAGTGAAGAAGTGTTCATGATCTGTGATCATGCTAATTCTGCCCTAAGCAACCTAACTGAATTTGAATGGCTAATAGATTCAGGCTGTACCTACCACATGACTCCTTTTAAAAATCTGTTTGCTTCTTATAGTGCTTGTGATTCTGGTTATGTGTCCCTAGCTGACAATAAGAAGTGTAAGGTCCATGGTGTGGGTGACATAAGTCTTAAGTTTGAAAATGGAACTGTTTTCAAATTAAACAATGTTAGACATGTCCCTGATCTTAGGCACACCCTGCTTTCTGTTTCTGTTTTTGAAGAATGTGGTCTTGAGGGTAAATGGGGAAATGGGTGTATGAAGATTTTGAAAAACTCCCTTATTTTGTTTAAAGCCTTGAAACAAAATAACCTTTATGTTGTGCATGCCGAACCTTTTTCTGAAAATGCTAATGTTGTACTCAGTGACAAGTCTGTGCTTTGGCACCAAAGACTGGGTCACATGAGTAATAGAGGATTAAATATTTTGAAACAAAATGGATGTTTTGGTAATGACTTGGTGTCACCCATACCTTTCTGTGAGGGTTGTGTCCTAGGTAAACAACATAGGGTTCAGTTTCCTGTTTCTAGCTATTCTAGTGAGCCTAAGTCTAAAGTTGTCCTTGACTACATACATGCAGATGTATGGGGTCCTTCCAGTGTCCTTACTCATGGGGGTAGGAGGTACTTTCTGTCCATAATTGATGACTTTTCTAGGAAAGTCTGGGTCTGTTTGTTAGAACATAAATCTGATGTGTATGTTAGGTTTAAAGAATGGAAAATTATGGTAGAAAATCAAACTGGATGTAAGGTTAAAACCCTTAGAACTGACAATGGCTTAGAATTCTGCAATAAGGATATGGATAGGTTGTGTGTTGAGAGTGGGATTAGGAGACACAAGACTGTGCCATATACTCCCCAACAGAATGGCTTAGCTGAGAGAATGAATAGGACCCTCCTAGACAAAGTTAGGAGTATGCTTGCCACTTCTGGCCTCCCCAAGAAGTTTTGGGGAGAAGCTGTCAATACTGCCACCTACCTGATAAACAGATCCCCCTCTGTACCTTTAGAAGGTAAGTGCCCTGAGTCTGTCTTCTCTAAGAAACCCTTGGACTTGTCAAACTTAAAAGTGTTTGGGTATGCTGCCTATGTACATCAACAGTCTGATAAGTTGGACCCTAGGTCTAAGAAATGCATTTTCTTAGGATATCCTGAAGGTGTTAAAGGATATAGGATCTGGGATAGGAACCAGAGTGGTTTTAAGGTCATTATAAGCAGAAATGTTGTGTTCAATGAAAGTGACTTTCCCTGCTTAGTTCAAAATGTGACTGACCCTCAAACTGTGCATGATGGCACCTCTCCTAGTGAGGTGGAGCCTATCCAGACCACTGCTGCCCCTCTGGTGAATGAGTCCAGTACTCCTGATTTGACCAACACTATGCATGACACCCACTCCACCTATAGTGAGGTGGAGCAGCCCAGTGGTAATGATGAAAATTTGCATGATGTGATTGTTCAATCTGATTTTGCTAATAATGAAGAACTTGGAGAGATCCAAGTTGAGAATGAGAGTCTAGATGATTATGTGTTAGCCAGAGATAGGACTAGAAGAAACATTAAGAGGATTTCTGATAGTATGACTGACTATGCATTTCACCTGTATGATACTTCATTATTTGCTTTCTCTGTTTTTGAAACTCTTGAGTTGAATGAGCCTAAAACCTACCAGGAAGCCCTTGCCTCTAGAGAATCTAAAATTTGGCTATGTGCTATGCAAAGTGAGATAGATTCTCTTAAGTTGAATAAAACCTGGACCCTAGTTCCTAGGACTCCTAATTGTTCTGTTGTTGAGTGCAAATGGCTTTTCAAAGTTAAAGAAGAACCAAATGACATTAGGTTTAAAGCTAGGTTAGTGGCTAAAGGTTTCACTCAAAAGGAAGGGGTAGACTATGCTGAAATTTTTGCTCCCGTAGTAAAATTCACAACAATTAGGATGATGTTTGCCCTAGTTGCCCATAATGACTGGGAGATGAAGCAGATGGATGTTACCACTGCTTTTCTGCATGGTGAACTAGATAAACAGATTTTCATGAGCCAACCTGAGGGTTTTATTGACCCTAAGTACCCTAGACATGTCTGTCTACTTAGGAAGGCCCTCTATGGCCTGAAACAGTCTCTCAGACAATGGAATATCAAGTTTGACCAGTGTATGTCTTCCCTGAGTTTCAAAAGGTCTGATTCTGACCCTTGTTTGTATTTTAAGAATACTGCCTCTGTACCTGTTTTCTTGTTGATCTATGTTGATGACATGCTTATCATTAGCCCCTCTGTGAATGCTATTAAAATAGTTCAAAAGTGCCTTTGTGAAAACTTTGCTATGAAAGATCTTGGAGATGCTAAGAGAATCCTAGGGATTAATACACTTAGGGATAGGAGTAGGTGTACCCTTACCCTGAACCAAACTTCCTATCTTGAAAAGGTCTTGAAAAAGTTCAAAATTGACTCTGCCCAACCTGTGAATGTTCCCTTAGCACCCCATTTTGTGCTAAGCAAGGATCAGTCCCCAAGGACTGCTCCTGAGATAGATAGGATGAAGGCTGTACCCTATTCCAGTGCTATAGGGTCAGTCATGTATCTCATGGTAAGCACAAGGCCTGATATAGCTTATGTTGTTAGTTGCTTAAGTAGATATATGGCAAACCCTGGTATGTCTCACTGGACTGCCCTTAAATGGCTCCTTAGATACCTTAGGGGTACACCTTCTCATGGTCTTGTGTTTTCTAAAACTGAAACTGGCATTTTACTTACTGGCTATGTTGACTCCAATTATGCTAATGATAGGGACAATAGAAAGTCTACTACTTCCTACATTTTTACTCTTTGTGGTTCCTGCATAAGTTGGAAATCTCAACTTCAACCTATTGTTGCACTGTCCACTACTGAATCTGAATACGTGGCAGCCACTGAGGCCTTTAAAGAGGCTATTTGGCTTAAACGAATGCTAACTGAAATTGATTTTCTTAAGCAGGTTGTGACAGTGTACTCTGATAGCCAGTCTGCTATCCAATTGTGCAAGAATCCTGTATTCCATGACAGGACCAAGCACATTGATGTCAGGTTTCATTTTATTAGGAATATTGTGGATGCAGGTTGGATAAAGCTGTCCAAGATACCTTCAGAATTTAACCCTGCAGATATGGGGACTAAATGTCTCACTTTTGAAAAACTGTTGTCTTGTAAGCGTATTCTTAATTTAGATTGTGGCTAGATAAGAACTGTAAAACAAGAAAAACCGGCGATGATGATTCTCTCTTTCACGTTGTGCTCTACACCACCAGGGGGACCAATAAGGTGGAGATTGTAGTGGTATTGGTCCACCTCACTACTGGACAATCCATGAGCTGCCTTTTGGTCCACCTCATTTAAGGAGTTGGTCTCCTAATTAATGCCCTGGCCCAATTGGGCTGTCTACCCGACCAAGCCCATTCCCACCCCGCTTGTCCTATACCCAGCCCATCCCGTGTGGCCCTCCCTTATATTTGGTTGGTTCTTCTGGAACCCTCCTATTTCTGCCTCTCCGCCTTCTCTCTAAACGATGACTCCTCAGTTCAGTTACCCTAGACCTAGAGTGAGAGAGTGTCGGTTTCCTCTGAGCTTTAGCTCCGGCTTTGCTCCGGTGAGACCTTGGGGTTCCTATAGGGGTCTTCACTCTAGTCTGGTAGTGTGGTAGATTATCCGTTGCTCCGGTGGGTTCTCTGGGCTGGGGTCTGGGTTCTATGTGTGAGGGCTAGTTGGCTGTCGCCCTTCCGTCTTCCCTGGTGGTGAGTGTGAGCAAGCCTTTGGGCTTGGTGGTGATTGAGGTCTGAGCCGGTCCGGTTTTCTAACAAAAATAATTGAATAAACACATACCTTTGTATTCCACGTCCTCCACGGCCTCCCTATATGTGTATGATATGATGCTTGCCATTCTCAAACTCTCTAAGATAACCTTAATTATATGCGGTAAAGAAAATTCTATCAAATTTCAATTTTTTACCTCTAAAAAGAAGTCACATTTGGTTTATAGAGATTATATTAAAGTATGTACTTTGGAAGTGAGTGGCATTTTTCTTGTGTTTCTCCATGTCAAATGAGGAGCTCCTTCCACATTCAACTCTCTCACAGCCTTATTTTCAGCCTGCTTTGTGAGATATATGGTTTTAAGATACAGGTTATCACAGTCTAAGCAACTAAACTACCATAAATCACTTAGTAAGGACTTCTATTAGCTCTATTACCTTTACAGAATGAAGAAGTTTGGGGTTATCATGAAGGTACTTGACAATCCAAGTCATGGCACTTGCAGTTGTGTGCTGGGCAGCAAAAAGAACACCAATAATATTATCAGCTATTTGACTTTCCTTTAAATCCATCCCTTTCTCGTCTTTAGAACTAAGGAAACAACTTAGAAGTCCATTTTCTGATGGTTTCTCCTCTTTCCACTCCCTAATAACATTGTTTAGGATTTTGCTTAGTATCTCTCTTGCCTGTACAAACAAAATCAATTCAATAAAAAAGAAATTACTATACATATGATTACTTAAATTGTGTTAGTTATATATTTATAATTACATTATTGGATACTTTCATAGTGTGTGTACCTTCATAGCTTTGACATATGGACTTCTTGGGAACCTTGTTGGAAATGAATTGTACCCTTTCTCAACTATGCAGTAATTGTTTTTAAGTTCTTCCTTGTAGTGATCTTTCAAGTGTCCAAATATCACGAGAATACCTACTTCGAATGAGATCTGAACAATTGTGTACTAGATATTAGTACTTGAGATTCCATTGTAAATTAAAATCTCAATAGAGTTGTTCAAGTCTTGACTCTTGATATATACTTCATCCGTTCTTTAATTCTTGAAACATTGTAATTTTTTCACTATTCATAGGCCTTACTTTGACCACAATTTTCTACTAATATAAATAATCAAATTATTACGTATAAAATGTTATTAAATTCCTATCAATGTGAATTTCCAAAATATCAAATTTTTATAATGTTTACTAATATATAATTAAATATAATTACAGTCAAAGTTGTGTGTTGACAAACGTGAAAGTCAAACTGTTGCAAGAATTAAAGAACGGATGACTAAGAATGTTTTTATTTGGACTATTTTCGGATGACTAAGAATGTTTTTATTTGGACTATTTTCCATCCCAAATCAGACTAGACTTAAATAGACCAGACCATATCAGACATAAATAGATCAGACCAGGCTTGCATAGTTATAAAATAAACTAAGACAAAATATTTATCAGATCAGACGAGTTCAGACCAGATCAAATCAGACCAGTAAATTTCAATTCAAGTAAAAACATTCTTAAACACATGGACGGAGGTAGGGGACCAACCTATGCTCAGCCGCTCGGGCCCACCCCAAATCATATAAAAATATTAAGTTATATCTTTACATTTTATTAATGTGAGTATTCATTAAGTTAGTACATTTATACCTTTTGCATCTCGGAGAAAGTAGTGATAACTTGGCCATCATCCCAAGAATCCAATACAGAAGTGGCAATGTCCTCAATGTCTGGAACTAAGCTGCGAATTGCCTCTGGGCTCAAGCATTTCTGGACCATCTTTCGAAGGCCCATATGGTAGTCTCCCTGGTGGAAGAAGAGGGCCGATGGGCCGATCAAATGCTCAACACTTTTTGGATATGTTGGGTTGAACAAGTGGGCGTGGGTGACTAGCACAAATCGTATCGCCTCTGGGCTGGCCATCATTACACAAGGATATCCAAACACGCGTGTTTTGAAAATTTCCCCATACCTGTGGAGTTTTAGAAGAAACGGTTCAAAATTTTACATGTCCAACTTTTAACTTTTTACTATTTCAAATTTATCATTTAACATTCTCTATTAAAAAAAGTATTATATGTTTAAGAACTCATATAATTTTTAAAAATATAGAATTGAAAATATAAAGATAGTAAATGTTAAAAATAAAATTAAGTAAAAAATTAGAATATAAAAATAATACCAAAAACGAATTTTTTCTACATTTTTTTCTAATTTCTAGAGTTTTATCAATTTTCTTAAGCGATGGTTAGGGTTTTCCAAATATATCGCTTCTGTACGTGGGTTATTTGAATAATTAAAACCATACAAATTTGAATAATTCTATTTTACTGTGAAATTAGATTACAACCTAATTTAAATATCTTTAAAATTACACACTATTTTTCAAAGTAAATCGTTAGAACTTAATTGAAACCACAACACAAAATTGAAACCACAACAATTGCATGAATAAATTAATGTTATTTATTTTGTTTGAGTGATGCAGATACAATATCTTATTTTCATTTTGTTTTTAATATATGAATGAATTATATCCACCTTACCAATATAAATACATATTTATTTTGTATTTCTTTATAAACTATCTAATATGTTGGTCTTTGTGTCAAAATATTTGTATGAGCCAAAATTTATTTTCATATAGCCACTATTATATACTCCGTTCCGTGATGACCAAAGCTACAACATATAAACTCTATTATCTTTTTATATTTGATAAAATTACACATCATGTATCATCGTAATAAAATATAATTTCAAATAAATTTTTATTCTATTCTAGATACCCCATGCATCGCATGGGTACTTCCTCTAGTAAGTATAATGTCTAATTTGTATAAAGATCACGCATACAAGACGGACAATTAGCAGATTAAATCATTATACTTCCTAGTATTTATTACATAAGTGATTTTACATTGAATTACCCTAATTAATATTGTGTTATCTTTAAAAAATTGATCCATCCAAATGTTTCTAAGCACGCCAACCTCTACCAGACATGGCCATTTAGTTTGAAATTTTCCAATCTCATATAGTTGGTGGACTTAATTGACTCGGAAAAAAGTACATGGACTCCATTGACATTTTGTTAAAAGTACCTATTTGACAGTTTCCCAAAAAAATGGAAATCAGTAAAAAAATGTCAGCTCGGACGCCCACGTAGGCGTTTAACCGGGTAACCGGTTGATTACCTACTAAAAAGCTGATTTGATGATTTTTTGATAGTCGGTGGACTTAATTGACTCGGAAAAAAGTACATGAATTCAATATGAATAATAGTTATAATATAATCTCATAATCACTTAAATCACTTAAATGTAAAAACTAAATATAAATGAATATGACCAATTAAGTTAATTATTACTTTATGTAGTCACCAATTTTATTATACAATAGTGATTTTAGTCATATACTAGTATGTAATTATTTCTTGATTTTTATATAAAAAAGTGTTCTTATATGATTCTTCTTTTACTACGGAGTATAAGATTTTAAATGATTTTAAATGATGAATTTGAAATATTAAGTCTCTTACTCTTTGAAACTTTTCCCTATAATAAATTATATTTAAGAGACAAATTATGACCATACATCCAACCTAAGACTACATATGCACGTGTAAATTTTATGCATGTTTCGTATTGGGGGATAGAAGCTACATAACTTTTCATCACTGATCGAATATAGATGCCATGCAGTAAACCTATGTAAAGAAGTAGACAATATTTTATTTAAAAAGGGAAAAGAAATTAAAGTAGGTGGATTATTTAAGGAAAGAAGTATAAATATACACATTCAATTATATATGTTTGAATGAACTAATGGAGAGGGCCTATACTATTAGAGTATTCGGCTATAGATAAACAAACACACACACACATACATACATACATACATACATATATATATATATATATATATATATATATATATATATATATATATATATATATATATATATATATATATATATATATATATATATATATATATATATATATATATATATATGCTGCATGAAATGAAACCTTGCATGTCTTTGGAAATAGAAGATGTTGGGGTCTTGGGAGTAAAGTTGAAGAGTTTCTCCAATGTAAGGCCATCCCATGGATCCTGGGGGGAGCTTATCTTTTTGTCTCTTATTTTTTGCAATTAAAGAAGAAAGGATACATGAAAGCACAGAGAGGGAAAACATGAAAACACAGAAGAGGAAATCATATTTCTCCATTTTTCCTTTTATGCAATTCGCCCAAGAAGGTAGTATGTTTTGGGAGGTTCCTAAAGATGTATATTTGATGAATTCAAAGTTTCATATATGCTGATAAGAGGGAAATGTCTGGAAGTATGTGCTGATCTCTACTATATATAGGAAGAAATTGGCAAAAAAAGTAGTCTTTAAATCTTGACACATGTACACAAATTAAAGGGACAGCGGACACCACCATAAATGTTCAAACACTGTATGCAACGTTAATGATTGACGTGGGACGGAGTGGTCGTTTGGTGGACACTGACTCAGGTTATGATCCTTGTCAGCCCATTCTTCTCTTAAACAACAATATTTTGACTTTGCTCAAGTTATTGAAAGAATTACATTCTTATCTTTTTTGTTCAATCATTTTTTTGTTCAATAATAAAGTTAGAATACATTGTTCCAATGGTTCCAAAAGGTGGAATCTCCTACCTAGGAGCCCTCACACCCGGACACACCCGGACACGACATGATTTTTGGGAGGATGTAAGTTACGGTGACTCAGTCGGCCCAATGATGGATATGATAGACCTTATACCCATGCGCACCAGAGGTCTAGCCCGACACGCAGAAATTTTAGCTACCACACGGCCTCTACGAGTTTTGAAGCTTGGTCATTGCTCCAAATTTCCCTCCATTGGACCAACTGAGCTACCCGTGCGGGTATAAAATTGTGAATTAGATATGGAAAAATTCCATCTGCTATTAATTACTACCTCCGTTCCACTAACATTGGGACGGAAGGAGATGACACGATTATTAAGAAATGTGGGTTTATGTGGTTGATATTGAATTGATAAAGTAAAAATAAAGTAAGAATGATTTAGAGCCACACAAAATTTACCAGACAATATTAGTGAGATTTCCCGAAAAGGTAAAACGGGACAATCTTAACGGGACGGAGGGAGTAATACGGAGTACTTATTTTGACTTTATTGTATGTCTTCTTCAAAAGTAAGAAATAGAAAATTAATAAAATGATGTAATTTCATAGGGTTAAAAGAATACTTTATCCCTTAAATATTGTCAAAGAGAAGTAGAATTTAATTTTGGGGCATTTTAAAAGGAAAGTGACATCTTAAGTGATGGGATGAGGGAATATGTGTTTTATGTCTAAAAACGTGTTTAGTTTGCTACCAAAGTCACAGTTAGGTTAGTTGGACACAGACATATTGTTTAAAAAATTGCTTACTAACTGAAATAAATGTTTAAAGTGCCGCTTACTAACCATACATCACACATGTATTATTTAAGCGACACTTTAAACTTTTTCAATTTCCTAATTTACCCTTACTCTTATCCTTTCATTTACTCTTACCCCTACCATAACCCTACTACTACCACCCACCCCAACCCCAAGCCATACCCCACTCTACACCTTTACCCCCTACCTCGTACTTACCCCTACTCCCTACCATGCCCCCTACTTGTGGCCCATATCCCCCTACCCCCATTTGTTAACCCTCACCCCGAACCAAATCTACCCGAGGGTCGAGGTAGGGGTAGGGGGTAGGGTGAGGGGGTGGTATAGGGGTATATGGTCTTGGTAGGGGTAGGGGTGGAGGTAGGTTTAGGGTTGGAATTAGGGGATATGGGTAGGGTTGGGAATATGGGTTGGTGGCATGTATGGGTACGCGTACAAGGTGGTAGGGAAGTTAGGAGTAGGGGGTAGATCCCATGTATTATACTCGTAGGGTAGGGGGTATGGGTTGTCACTTTTAGTCCTCCTACTATATATATTATGTCACTGACGCTTTTGGTACTCGAATTTGAGTTTATCCACTTTTAGTACTTGGACTCTTGTGAGATAGACACTTTTAGTACTCGTCTTTGATATTTTCCACATATAGTCCTTCGACTTTCATAAAATTGACATTTTTTGTCCTTGAACTATTATAATAGTGACATTTTTTGTCCTTTACTTTTTGTGTCAAATTCATGGTAGAAGGATTTAAAGTGTCAATTTTATAATACTCAAGAGACTAAATGTGAAAAACATTGAAGTCAAGGACTAAAAGTGTGTCTTACACAATAGTCAAGGATTAAAAATGAAAAAATTGAAAGTCAAGTATCAAAAGTGTCACTGACCCAATAGTCAAGGGACTGAAAAGTAAACATGAGCTTATAAGCACCGCTTAGTAACCTGAAAAATAAATACACATGAGTTTTGTGTGTTTATATATATAAGATTATTTTGGACATTTTAATGTTAAACGGTGCTTTAAATCTTGTGAAGTAAACATGAGCTTATAGCACCGCTTATTTTACGTGTCGCTCATTAATACAAGACTTAATAAGCACCGCTTAGTAACCTGTAAAATAAACGTGTAGTTGAGTAACACAGAATATCTAATATATACTCCGCAATTCAATACTTCAATTGTACGTATATATTCCAATTTTTGGGTTATTCATTCTAAAACACCGAGGGTATACTTCCCGTTGTGCCTTAATCCAGGACGGTATTGTCCATGTATCTCAAAATATGCAAAAATAAATAAATAAATAAATAAATAAATAAATAAATAAATAAATAAATAAATACTTCATACGTAGTATTATTAATTAATGTGGAGGATATGGAATTGATGAGGAAATTGAGTCCAATAAATGCTTGTTGATTCTTTAAAATAAATTTCACTGCAGTAATTATTGTCTCACAGGATAGAACATCTATTCATTCCCGAATAACTCTGACAAACCACACGACGCAC